GGCAGACTTTCACCCCTCACCGTTTTGCATTTTTGCTGGTACTGTTGATGCTTTGACTTCAGAAAAACAGCAGAACGCCTCAGCGCTGCAGTGTACGAGCACCTAGGAGGGGCTTCATCGGTATTGCTCTTGCAGCAGGAGCCTCTCTTCCCAGTGTCAGCACTGCATAACGGGCAAGCGCAAATGCCGGATCATGTAAAGTTGCAGTATCATCAAGACATGCTGCGGCGGCAGCAGGAACGGCTGGCCTCCCCCTCCTCTCTATCTGCGCTTCTTCATTTAGGGAACAGCCTTGTAGCAGCAAACCTCAAGCAGGTGCCTTCGGCCTTCTGCTGGGTCAGTCCCTGATGGGCTACCTTGAGCAGCGACTTGCGTTTCCCGCATCCCCAGCAGTAGCCTGACATTGGAGCGCAAGTCGTTAGCTTCTGAGTACACACTGGCAGCGGGATAGATGTCAATGATAATGTAGTTGTAGGAGATGCACAGTCTAATAGGCAAATATGTTTTGCGAGCATCTGCATTGCGTGGTTCTCTTTCTGTAGGCCTTAGAGAGAGAGGTAGAGCTTCACTGGGCAGCGATGACGCCAACGGAAGTCTCGGCAACACTCAAGTAACCCGCGTCACCGCGTTTTCCTGCACGGCCTTGTGCCCCACACCGTATTTCTGTCTGATTTTGGTTTTCCTTGCTCTTCCCCTATCACTTGCACATCCTGTAAAGATGTTATGGATCCCGACGCTCAGTGCGCTGCACTATTCGTCGAAAACTCTGGACTCGTATATAAAATACCCTTCACGTCAAGGGTTTCTCTGTCTGAGTGGTGACCCTCTTGTGGAGCTCTTTCTCCTTGTTGTTTGATTCTCTGCAGTCTTCTAGCAAAGATGAAGCACCGGCCGACCTCCGCGCTGAACAAACTGGGGCTTGCTGTACAGCACAGTCTTCATCTTTATACACCGAACTTGGTAACGCTGCCGAACCTAGTCTGAGTCACTTCGTCACTTGCTGTGCCACTGATTACGGGTTCGCTCATGCTGTCCACAGACATCGCGACGCCTCATCTTCGTGATGTCTCTGGCGTAGCAGCTTGTCTATAACGCTTTGTATAGCTTGTTTTTCACTTTGCATTTTTGATACGCTTCATCTGATGGGTTTTTATCTGCTACACCGCCATGCATCCGTGTGCTTGCCAAGCTTGTGGTGCCGCTTACTGTGTCGGCCGGTGTTAGAGGTCCAGAAGGTGCATCGTTTTCTTTTTTGATCATAGTGAACCAGGTTTGCTGGACTCCCCGGCATTGCTGCTGCTGAGGGTTTGCGCTGGCGCTGCCATTGGTATTGTGCTTGTCCTTCACAGTTGTCAGGCTGCCTGTTGAGCTTTGACATTTTGCTTTACCGTCACCGTTCCCTTCTCTCATCCCTTTCAACTTTCTTGCTCAACAAACAAATCGCATGTAAGATCCATCGACTGCGTTTTTAAGGCAGCTATTGTAGTTGGCGGCTTCAGTGCAGCAGGTTCTGTTTGCTGCTGTTCCCAATAGCATTGTGCTTGATCCGAAGGTGTGCGATGTACGTTGCAGCGCCTCATCATCGCCAGAAACGTCAGGAACGCCGCCAACAGTACCCCCGCCCGTCACCCCGGTTTGTCAGCCAACTCTCTGCTGTATCCGCAACAATGCCGACGGCGGCGGCAAAAACTCCAGCCTTAACAGCGACAGAAGCATATATTGCTTCTCGTCAGCACAATCTCGGACAAATGCAGCACCAAAAAGAGCAGGAACCGTCACTAGGGTCAGAAGCAGAAGCACAAGCACGAAGGCCATTTAGTCTTAATGAGCTGCAACCCGTCGAGCGGCTCCCTCCTGATGCACACCTCCCCCCTCCACTTGCCTTCGATCGTCATACTCGCAAAGATGATATTGAAACGACACACCTGCTCGAACAAGTCGAGATGCCCAAGGATGCACTTGATCGTTTGGTTCCTAGTGATGGACTCTCGGGGAACAGTCGGTGTTTCAAGTCAGCAGACTCACCAGGAGTTTCAGGACTGACGGCAGCGCCACGCAGGTCGACAATTTCTCTGCAATCAAGGGCTGGGGCAGCTGCGGTAGCACTCACTGTTCGCGGCGCAGACATTCCGTGCAGTGTAGGCGTCAGCATAGATCCGTTTCTTGCTGCTGCTTTGCTGCAACACCTGTCCCATATACAGCATTACAAAGATCCGGAGCTGTTGTCTAGGCTACTTGCATCCGTTTCAGCGGCCACTGCGAACTATGGGCAGCAGCGCATGCAGCATCTCTTGGAGCCGGAGAGTGATAGTCGGCTACGTGGCAGCTGCCCTGTCCCTGTAACAGAAAATTCAGCAGGCTTTCCACTTGTAACTTGTGCCGAATCAGTACATCATGTGGCTGAGGCAGCGAACGAAGTGGCTGCAACTACTGTGGTAGCTTCCACTTCGGAAGTATCATTTTCTACGGTTGCGTCGGCAGGAGATCCAGCAGCGTTGACAGCTAATGAGGCTACAGTGAGGAGGCGCCGCGGCACGCCGATAGGCACCCATGAGCTGCACGAGAGCTGGGCAGAATTTGCTTCAGCCGCGATCACTGCAGCAGATGCCTTACTTCCGCGCTGGGGCAAAACCAGAAGAGCCAGCTTTTCAGGACCGGCGCCCGAAGCTTCTCGTAGACATGGCGGCGAAGACAATCGCACAGGGGGGGCAGAACTGCTCAATGAAACTGTATCGTCTAGGGGCAAATCGCAACCTTCCGGATCACACGGAGTCCCATCTGACCAAGACACGATAAGGAGGCTGAAGGAGCAAGGACTGCACAGGGCTTTGCAATTCGTAACTTTACCCTGGAGCACATTCGTGTCTCAATTCAGAAAAGCCATAGACCTTGGCACATCCAGAGAGAGGCCCCACACTCGCAACCGGCTCGCTCGAAAGAGACGCCGTACGGTAAACGGATTTGTGCCTGCAGGAGCAGAGGTTGCTCGAACAGTTACAAAGAGAGAGGTAAGCGCGACTGTTGAGTTTTTACTGACTGCATTCTCTGTGTGTCGCATTCCAACTTGGTGACGGCTTCTCCTTTATCCTTCTTAAACCGCGTCCCCATTAAATAAAAGTGCAACTGCATTTTCCTTCCCACTTAAAACTGTCGTTTCTCCTAAATGTATGGCTTTGTGAACCGACATCTGCCACCCACATTTGCCTCCAGCCTTCCCTCCCTTGCATCTCTGTTAACTACATAATGCATTCTCAAGTTTTACTCTTCAGCATTGCAGAAAATACAGTAGCGTTTCGCGTTTAGAGAAACACGTTTATGAATAGTATTTTCGGCTCGAAAAGAAGGGAAAGAGGGTACTTGATTCCTTCGTTGTGTGTGATAGGTACGCTTTGCACGCCTTTATCGCATTTGGGGTTCCAGAGGACCCCCTGGTCTGTGTCGGCTTCGGCGCCGCCATTTGCGTCGTCTTGCAATGAAGATGAGAGCTGCAGTCACCGTAACTCCAAGACCTTCAGCAGCAGAATCAACACCGTCGAGCGGCTGGCAACAGAGAGCGGGTGATCGAAGTAGGGCTGCTAGAGTATCACCTGGAACTGCAACACACTCCATCACTGCCGTACCCGTTTCGAGTGGAAGGAGAAGGAACATTGTATACGGAAAGGTAAGTGCTGCTACTGAAGTATCGTGTAGACTTTACCTTATATGTTGTCATTTCTGGGAAATTACTGTCATTCGCCCATCCTCTAAGCAGAAGGATAGAGGCATACCTTCAGTACTACCTAGCCTTTAGCTCAGGCAATGTTGTACATAAGCGAGCCTGATTCAAATTGTATGTGTATCAAAACAATGGATAATCAGGGTCGAATCTAGTGACGGGAAAACATATGTGACCATCTGGTGTTGATGTCTGCTGTCCTTTTTCAGTGCGCTGCTGATTCGATGCGACGCTGGGCTTGCTGTCGGCGGGCTTTTCTACAGCCATTCCAGCTGGTGTCTTTGTTCTCACGCCAATATCCGCCAAGCATTGGTGCGGAGGCTACGGCATCTGCAAGGACTGACTCTTCTGGAAATGCGCAGTTGCCGCCTCAGCCGCAGTTGCAACTCCCTTCGCATCAAATTTTCCCTTTTGGCATTTCATTTGCCGATACTGCTGGCACCCAGGCACTGCTGATGGACACTGGTCCGTTGCTTCCTCCCGTTTTGCCAAAGGATGCGCCTTCCTCTCTGAAGAAACAAGTCAAACAGCAGCACGACAAGAAGATGAAATGTGCACGCCAAGCGCAAGCTCTTTTGCAGCGGCATCAGCAGCGACTGCACTTGCCGGGGGGGATTGATTCTCCATCAGTTGGCGCATCTACTGCGACTGTAACGGCAGGAACAGCAAATCCACCAACAGTTCAAGCGATTGGTATAACGTCAACATCAGAGCAACCTCCAGCGTTTCAGTCAGTTCCAATGATTTGCCCAGGGGATTCAATTCAATCAGCTGCCACACCGAAGCCCGCACGGGCAAGAAAGGATGAACAGCACAGGAGTCGTCTGCTGCATGCCGCAGCTGGCGCTCTGTGTGCTGCAGCAAACATGAAGATATTAACTCTGAGAATCGCAAGACCTTTTGTGTTGCAGCTGCCCTTCCTGTGCGCAGAATCCTCATGCGTAGCAACAGGGACCAAGGCAGCAGCAAAAGACCTAAGTGCTTGCTGCGCCGCTGCAGCTGCCGCGTTGCAGACGCTTGGTTTGCGTTTAGACGAACCCGTGAACTATGCACATTCAGCTAGACGAAGGAATCCACGCCCGCCCACTCCGGACTTAGCGGTGATTCGGGTAGAACTTTTGATTTCTCTGGAGATGGCCTTCAGGTAAGGTTAGAAAGCCAATAAGCCTATCGACAGTATTTCGGCCCCTGCTGGTGTTGCTGGTGGCTGAGGCTTGTGTATAGCGCAGAACTTTGCAGTTTCGGTTTTCCTCTTCAGGAGTCCTCGTTTCGTTGCTCTCTGGCGGCAAGCGGCAACAGATGCAGCATCGCTTGACCATATTCTAACTCAGCATCGGGCAGAAGATAATCCGCAGAGGCGCCTCGCGCATCTGCTGCCCCAAGCAGCATACCTATATTCAGTTGTGTTCCAAGCGCTAGTCAATGATGTGCAAAGAGAATCCACACCTTCAAGGTCCATATATGCCTGGCAGCAGCAACAGCAGCAGAGTGCTTTGCAGTTTTGCAACCTATTAGCGAACAGTATTGCCACAATGATGGGCTGTGCTGCCATCGCTAATCATCTGCCCTCGTTAACTTTGATGTTGAATGCCTGCCGTTGCCTCTCTGCTGGGGTTATATCTGCACGTAGTGTCCCAAAACAGCAGCATTCGAAACAATCGTCGCTAACAATGCCATTGCAGCAGACGGAGAAGGAGATCATGCGAAAGCTAGAGCAAGCGCTAACGGACACTGATGCTAACACGGAAGACCTTCCATCAAAATATATCCGCTCATCACTGGTCGCACTTGTGCGGAGCCATCAGTCCACGCGGCGTTCTGCACCTCCTGCAACAGTTGAATCAGCAGCTGAAGCCGAAGCATCCTTCCACCCAGTTGTCTACGCCTTAGCAAGTAAATTACATCTGACGAGAAACACTATACACAGGTGGGTGGCGGAGGCTGCTGGGGCGGAGGAGCTTCGTTTGCAGCGGAATCAGCCGAGTTAATTCTATGCGCACGTGACCTTGCACGGTGCTTGTGGGAATAGCACGAGCTGCTTACACCAAAAGAAGCACCTATTTCTTCCACTGGGCTCCTTGCAGTTGGTTGGGCTTCTTTGGGTGTAACGCTGAGGATCCATCTGTTTGGTGCGCTGACGCATACTTTACGCATATTTCTGTATTCCCTGGACCATTTGGCCGAAGTGGCCATGCATTTTCGTATGCACCGCTTACAGAAAAGCGTGAACGAGAAATGCCAGGCAGCTCATCCCACGTCGCTCCGCGCGCTACGCAGCGTCAAGGCGCAAACTGGCTGCATTGTTGGACGAGCGACTAGCCTTGTCATTAGACTGTTTTTTGCGTTGAAGGGACGCCAGGCGGACAATGCAAGTTGCATCTCCCAGTCTGCGTTTCTGTCGAACTTGAGTGTTTCAGTCCTGGAGGGAGCTAGCCGAGGACTAAGTGCGCTGCTGCTTGGTCCAGGGGAAAACAAATGCATCTGCAAGGAGCAGCAAATCCACTGGTAGCAAGGCTTATAGTACATAGAGCAGGAGTACTTCCTACTGTTCTTTCAAGTAGTAAAATATTTGTAGAACAATTACCAAAAGTAATGGTATTTGTATGAAAACGGCGGCACAGGTCCTTGGGCATGCGGGAAGAGGGGGCGCCCCTCTTGGTTTGCAACACTTTCTATTGCAGATCACGTTGCAAGCCATCGTCGGGCTCCTTTGCGATACATGCACTAACGCCGTAAACAACTGTGGTACATTTAGATGGCTTACAGTAGACAGCATACATTCAAACACGCACGCACAGCAAGGTCTCACGAAGCAAGCAAGCTTTAGCTGGCCTCCCAAACAGCCGCCACGCGCCCTGGGCACACGGGCACAAGTGCGTGGGGCTGCTGGGGAGGAAAAGCGACCGGTCATGAGTTGCTGCGCTCCTTGTTCCAATTCCTACCGCAGGGCTACTACAAATGCAAGCTTCCCCGAGCCCGCTTTTCGGTGCACGCACTAACACTTGAACAGTAACTTGGACTTGAACAGTAACTTGTACGTCCGTCGGCAGCCAGCGACAAATTGGTTCAAACGTCAGGCTAGAATTGGCCCCCGCTTTCTGTGATAGCACGCTGAGGTATAGATATGGGCCCCCCATATAGAGTACAGAGCAACTGTCAACAAAATGTGCAAGGCCAAAATTTAAGGTGGGATGTGCAAAAGGCGGACGCATTCCTTTTGCTCTAAAGCAATTTTCCGCTAGACGGATGGAGATGTTGCATTTTTCTTAACGCAGGGATGCGGCCAGCGGCTGGTCGTGGCACCACCGGAGGGCAGCTCCTGATAAGTCAGCACTGTGTGGGAGGAGAGAAGGGCTGAAGTTTTGCACAGTGTTTTGTGGGGGAACATCTAAATGTTTTCTTTTTTCTGCATGGCACTTTCGGTACTAATCCCTGTTACGCATCAGGCCTCCCTGTTGAGGGGAATGGTATAGTTGCTGGCAACTGCTCCCACGAACCATACGGTAGTACGAACTGTGGCAAAAGTCTTCTATCATAGCTGCGGAGATCCCCCAAGGGCAGTAACCTCCCTTTCAGTCCCCAGACGTCCTGGGCGCAACGGTGCACACGCCTGAAGCTGGTGCGGAGAGGATGGAGAGGATGGTGCAAACCATGCGCTGCAATGGTCGCATGCTCTGTCCTTAGGCGCTGCACGTACCTCCCCTTGCATGCACGTCGGCTACGGGGCAAGTACGCCTTTATCAGCTGTATACATTGTTACTGTATCTAGCAATGGGGGTTTTGATTTGCTTGCATATGAGGTTGCGTACCAGCACGAGTATCAGCAAATGCAACTCATGACGCTGCCTGCTCTACTCCGGCACCAGGCCATCGGGCTGCAAGACCCAGGCTGCCTGAGGTTGGAGGGGAAGGTCAAGTGCTTTGAATCCTGTATGAAATACTCTTACCTTATTGTAGCTCTATAGGGTTATCGAATAAGATCGATCACTCC